TGCAGTATTGGATCAGAGCTCATCACAGAACATTGGGTGTTCTGGGTGATTATTAAAAAGCATGTAAATGCGATAAGCTTTATAGTTTTCCCTTTGAAGTTTATCATCATCAATAGTTACAGTGTTCATTGTATTGTTCTAAAAATATTATGTCAATATATTTGCCCCATTTAAGTACGGTGCATCTAACAGTGGTTCTGCACATTTCACCATCTACTTAAACAAATAACTTTCAGAATCAGTTTGAAGAGTTTTGTTGAAGCCCAAGCGCACTTTCTTGACATTTTGCAGCTGCTAGCACAGATTCATTGCAGCGAGTACTGAAGATTCCAGACACATACTAATGTACATATTTCACGTAAGCTGATGGCAACACCCTGGAAAGCAACATTTTTTTCCTTCTAACTCCCTTCTCACTCCTTTTCCTGCTTCACAACATGATCACTTTGCTTCTGCAAGTGAGACTGAAGATGAGGAGGTGTTTCAGATCGCTGACAAGACTTTCTTACCTAGTATTATTATTTTCTTTACGCGAACATTGATGGCTGGAGGGCAAGGATGAAGAGCTTTTAGGAAAAAAAAAGTCAACTTCAAGATAAAAGGACTGAAGGCTCTTAAAACCCATTTCACAAGAAATGAATTTAAGAGAAGAAACTCTTAACGTCTCTTCTATTCCACTGTGTGAGATCTGATGCTTAGAAGATTAAGGATGTATGCTCAGAAATAATTTAGGACAGGAGAAAAAAAGAGTCCACTACCCTGAATTTAGTTCCTCTCAGAAGCAAGCCTGGACACAGAACAGAAGCTTTCTTCTCAACCCATATAAGAAACATCTCAAACACTAAGTTGTTTCATGGGGCTAAGGAGCATGACATGAAATCACAGATATTTTTGGAGGAGGCTGAAAATCAACAGCATTAAATCAGAAATACCAAGTGTGTTTTAGAAGTGGTTCTGTCAAACTCCAAAGACAAAATTAGGCCTTAAAGTCTTTCAGCGGAGCAAAACATCTACAGTTTCTATTTAGTTAACATAATCTAGCGGATATCTCATGAAATCAGTTCACATCAGTCAATAAAAACAATTAGCAGAGAAACTGAAATTCATTCTGCAAAGATATGCATGTCAGGCCAGAAAAATAAATCAGCAGCAAGCAAGTTCAGATTTTGCATGGCATGTTATTACTTATCATTTAGTAAATTCAATCAAGGAGTCATATACTACAACATTTATCTTTGCATCATCAAGTACGTAGTCATCCAGTCAAATTTATGTGTGTTGGTCATATAGGACCTCTGTACATTTCATGGAAAGAGTTAGGTACGTACAAAAAAAACTACAAGTGATAAACCTCCTGCTTTCACCAAAGGCAGCATGAGTTCTGTCAATTTGAAAACTATTTTTCCCTTCAACATTATCAGAACATTATGAGCTTTTGGTAAGAAATAAAGACAGGTAGATTTTAAAAGCACCACTTCTCTATCTAGGATTATGTCTTCTCTCCCAAAGTTGTATAAGTTTATTACAAACAGAATTTAGAGTCTTTGCAATACAGTTTTAAAAAAAGAAAGACAGAAAGTCAAATTGGGAGTTTAAAGACTATACCTTGGAGATTATTTCATCTCCTGTGCTCTATTAGCTCCTGCTTATTACAGCGTTGTGGTGTAACAGTTACTTAGGGTCAAGGTGTCATCAGGATTAGAACTACAAAGACAGAAATGACCTTAAAGACCAGGGAAGTAATGCATGTCTTTGTCCTGAAAGCATGAAATCAAATGCTGACCAGTGTTCCAAGTTATGGCTGGATAGTTATAATTGGTGGCCTATAAATTATATAAATTTTAATCCAAGAGAACATTGTGCTGAAAAGTGCTAATTACCAGAGGCAGGGACAACTACAGGTTTATAATCCCTCAGCTACTCAAGTTCAGTTTATGCAAATGGATAAAAGCCTTGAGTGCAAACACACATATCAGGAGTAGGACGTATCTCACCTGAGTTTCGACATGAAGATACAGACACCCACATTGCAGACACATGTAGGAACACTCTTTTCCCAAGATATTAATGCAATTAACAAAACAATTCCTCTAGCATAGACAGCTACCTTAAAACGAGAGGATGCGCACTCTGAGATCTACGATTAGATAGCTTTCTTTTGAGTATAAAGGGAAATCATTCCCATATTTTAGACATTGACATTTATTCAGGTCCCTTCCATCCAGAAAATGATTCAACTTGCCACAGTAGCCAGAAAATGATTTAGCTTGCCTTAATTGCTCAAAAATTGCTCAAAAATTGAAAAGAGTGAAACTGAATCTAAGCATCCCGTATTTGCCATAGGCTGGAACCACAGGGACATAATGCTGACACAGATTCCTCTCTTAATGGCCACAGAGCAGCTGCTGAATAGTCCTTACTGTGGCTTAGCAAATTGCAACTTTTATGATTGAACAAAAGTTATCTGCCCTTAATTCTCATAACTGCAGTACAAGATCCAAGCTAACAACTTCTGATTTACAGGTGCGTGCTACCACTCGAAGACTGGAACGTACAGAAATAGCCCACATACAGTGACATTTATTTCAGTGTTTTGAAGAATGGATTACTGAAAGGGTCCAGGCACTCTTAGAGATTGAGTATGGAGCTTAATTTGTGATAATTGCCATCTTTTGTATATGCTGGCTTATTGCAGCAGTATCACAACACATACTTTCCAGTAAGAATGTTAAATATGTGCAAATAGCTCACCTCTCTCAGATTCCAGAGACTAAACCCTGCTTTGAAGTAAATCCATAGATAATCCCAAAAAACTCTTATATTATAAAATTTAAGGAGTAATAAATTTCTTCCTTGTGCTTTAGGAACAGCCATTCCTGGGAACGGAAAAAGGGCTGGGTAAGTTGCGTGGTCTGTATAGCTGGTAAACACTTATTTTCCATGATATATCTGCTTCATTCCTCACTTAGCTGGGCAAGTCTGGGTCCTTCCTTTTACTTTCCTGGCCCTAGAAAGCTCACCTCATACTCAGGTTATCCTGACAGGGAAAGTTGCTGCTGCTTCACACATATCCTACTGAAAGAATGCTATATGAGTCAGGAAAAGGATTAAAGCAAGCTGACATTAAAGCTTATTTTATACCAAGTTGGTAAAAATCTTAATTTTACCATCCTGATAAGGAAAATAGAGTATTCATGAGTTTTTCCCTTGTCTCTTCTCTCACCTATTCACCAGAGTAGGCTCTCCTTAGGCCTTTGCCTGGAAGGGCTGAAATGTTGGCCTATCAAGGCACAGCTTGAGGCACAGCACTGGCAGCTTGCTTACTTCTTCTGCTCATAAGGATGCTGTGCAGAGAGAAGTATAATCAGTCAAGAATTATCCACCATATGCCTTTGCTTATTCCTTTTGGCAGCAGGCAATATACATGCTTGCAAGCATTTGTTAGTAAAAAGTGATTGTAAGAATTAAATGTCTCCTGGAGACTGAACTGCTCAAATAATCCCAGCTGGGGTGGTTGTAGAGGAAGAAAAAATTTGGCTCAGTACTTGAGAGGAAGATCTGAATAGCTGGGCCTCAAGAGAGGCAAGACAAAGACTCCCAAAGGAAAGGGCTTGAGTCTGGAGAGTAGGAAGTGGGTGTAAGCAGTCTTGTAGCATGAAGGGTTACTAATATGCACAGAGAAGAATAAGTGGAGCAACGACCCTTTTCTGTTTTCGTTTTGCCTTTCCACAAGTCTGAATGACGTATGATTTTGCTCAGTTTTCAATAGGCTCATTGAAGTGGCTATTTGGACTCAGTTCTTGCCTTTTGTATTCATCCTGACTGCATTAGCAAGCTCTACTTTAAGAGAAAGAGAGGCACTTTCCTCTCCAAACAACTGCTGTTTGAGAGTATGTGCCTGTGCTCTGGTTCTTGGCAGTGCTGGCCTCGGCCTGCTTGTTCACACTTGAAAGCAGGTCAGAGATCTCAGACAGACACATTTCAAGCTCTCTGACTGCTCTTTTTGCAAAAGAGAAAGGTTTTGTCCGTCTGTTTGGTGGGGGAAGTGGAAGAAAAAGAGAAGAGAGAAAGAGTATTTGAACAAGCATATCATCTTGTGTATATTCCTCTCCCCAAAGAAGCTCACAACTATAGTGCCTTGGCAAGCAGCAGAAACTCCATTCCCTCAAGGTGTGAGGGACACACTTAGGCCCCCATTCTGCAGAAAGGTGTGTTAGGAATTAGCTTAGTCCAGGTTCCCCACGCACAGATCACCCTCTTGCTTACAAGCAGACTGAGAATTTGACCACCAAGCCAAAAACTTGAAAACGCACAGATTTAAGTCACTGTGATTTTGGATAGTGACAATCCAAATAACACAACAAATGAATAGATTAAATTTATTTTTCAGTCACTCATAGTGTTCAACATAGCCTTCTCTTTTCAGATGTGTTACTTTTAACAATAACATGAAATTTTAAGATAAAGGCAAAATTTAAGACAGGAAAAAAAGTTTCAGGCATGCTAATGAAAGTCACAAGAGATACATCCAAGATTCAAGTGATCTAGTTGCACTTGACGTTCTCTCAGAATTAATGGGGAGTTGCCATTTCAGGAGAAAGACAAGATTATGCAGTTGGTACCAGCGCTTGACGTTGTTACACCAGAGCACTCAAGGAGGAATTTTGCCAGATTATTTGGTCATTCAAGTCATATTCATTCTTCAGACCCCAGCTGGCAGACAACATAACAGCCTCAAGGGTCTAAAAATTACTCTTTCTGTTCACTTGTAAAGCAGGCCTTTAATCTCAGATCCTGGAATTATCCTGGTGTGGGTGCTTGCGGACCACAGCTTCAGTTATCTCCTAGTTATGAAGTTAAGTGATTATTTTAGAATTAAATGATTCTTTTAGCATGCAATGTTAATAATCTTGTGTTTGTCTTCATACTAGAAATATGAGTACAAACAGAAGAAACTAATCAGCATGATGTTAATTATAGAACATTAAAATAATACTCTATTAGCCTGAAGTATTGATATATTTAGCATACTGATTTTTGTCATGTTCACCAGAAGGGTAAGGAATCTTCCAAAACTCCATGTAAGTAGACATGTATCCTATGGCCACTGCTTCCGACTTCTTCAGGTTGATTCTGTATGCAGAAATTTTAATCAAGATTTCAAACTAGCCCAAGTGTTTATGAAAGATACAGGGACCCTTCTGGGCAAGATTTCCTAGAGTATGTTCCTTAAGATTGTGCCCAAGAGGATCTTCCAGCTGTTACTCTATTTTAAATATAGAGTTTCACTAAGAAGGTCAGGTGTCTGGCAAAAAATTTGACCTGGAACTAGAAGACTTATTTTACAGACTTTATGCTTATCTCCATAGCGCTGAGACGTGATAGACATAACTTTTAAGGAACTCTGCAGTTTTATCAAGTTCGGTGAGAATATTAGGTTAAACTTATTCTTTTTTGATCCTAGAACAGGCTACATTATTGGTCATCAGATAGAAAGATTTTTTTTTAACAGCACACAGCTACTGTACTTAAGTCCTGTAACATATTCTACCAAGACATGTCTAGGAAAAATGGATAATTTGCACTACCAGTTGAGAAAGCTGTCTCTAATATTTTCTGCTCATTCACAGAGCGGAAGATGTTGCACAGCTGGATTAGATCATACTAGGCACACAGTTTTTCTGTGGTGCCAACTGATTCCATTTGCTCTTTGGCTGTAAAGAGTCATGCTCTTCCAAGTAGGAGCCAATATTTTGTGCTGGCCAGACTAATTACAGGGATGTTTTCCATGCACTTTGAGCTTTGCTCTTTCTCTTATAAAAATGTGACAGTATAGCTCAGATGTAATCAGATCAGTCCATTACAAGAAGTTCTGATACCACATGGAGATATTCCTCATAGATTCTTATGCAGGTAGCTTTATATTGTATTCCCAAAAACCAATAGGAAGATCTACTGAAACTCATAAAGAACAATTATCATTTAGAAGTACTAGTGAACAAAATTCCTCTCCCTTCATATCTGCATATCTGTGCGGAACTTTACCTCTATGAACTGAATTACCAAGCACTTACCCTGATAACTTCCAAGCTCCGGAAGGATCTTGGTCTTCTTGACCATCACACTTGGTCCCTTGGGTTAGAGCTCTGTGGTAGTCTAGTGTTTCTAAAATTTTTAATTAAAAAGGGTCAGTGGAGCATTAAAAAGCTTTCCTGCACTTCATCATATTAATAGCAGATGTTTAATTCATTAACATTTGATCACCTTCTATTACCATTTCAGGGATCAGGTATGGGTTTAAAACATGGCACTCACCACAGTGAGACTCCTTTCCACCAGTTTCCTATTATTGTAGCATCTGCTACCACATGTGCACACACCTCATCACTGATCACTACTATGTGTCGAGTACCACCAAGAGATGGAAGCAATTCATTTAAGTCACAGCGATCCACTGAGCTCTCTCATTGCTTAACGATAATCTGCAGAGAAAAGTTCTTCACAGGCAGTTTGCCTTGGTGTTGTCAAGATTTTGCAGTTTACCAGAGCAGAATATAAGAAGATCCTAGTGACCTGAAACTCTTAGAATCCATCTGAGGTGGGGTTAGGGGCATCAAGGTGATCATTTGTGCCCTTCCCTCAACTTATTCTGCAGAAAGGAGAACCAAGGAAACAGTAGGGGGCGGGATTTGAACCTAGACTAATTCTTGTGCCTTCTTTTTGTCTTGGCATTAGTCAATCTATTCATTTTATTGCTTGCAGTGTTAATCACGAGGGCAAAATACCATATTCTGTCAAGATAAAATGGTCAGGTAGGATAAAAGGCCACAGATCAAAAATCTCTTAGAAGAAATTTTCATCTTAACATTCCTGTCATTCACTTTTGCTTCTCTCAAGTTCTTCTCCTGGACTGCAGAAGGACTACAGTGTTGTAAAGACACTTTTTGTCTCAGTTGCAGCTGTATTTCCATTAATGCTGATAGTCATTCTGGGTTTTGCTGAGCTGAACTTCATATTCGCAAAATCCACTCAAAGAAAAGGGGAAAAATGATCAAATTATATTTTTTCCTGTTGACATCCTCAGTCAGTAGCTAGCTGTAGACAGAACACCTAGTTTTTCAGGGCTTTCTTTCACTCTTACCTTCACTTACCCTTCCTCTTTAACAGGATATCTCTGCCATTACAAGATAACAGAGAGAATGAGATTACACAACAGACATGCTGTTTAAAGAGTCATTTTGGAAGCTCAATTACTAGTTTGCACGTGCTGTGCATTTAGCTGTCTTCTAGAATAAACCCTAATCCAAACTTTCTTGAAAAATCAGTGCTTTAGTCCAGCACCAGCTACATAGTTATCTCAGAGCTCTAATTTTTGCTTAAGGAGAAGTTACAACTAGCCTGCAGGCACACAAGTAATTGATAGGGAACAATTGGATCTTCATTAAGACGCCAGCTCTATAAATATGAGCTATATCCTATTTTTCACCCTCCTAAATGGCAAAGACATGTACTAAGTATTTTCAGTACACTAATAATAATGAACAACTCAATACAGTCAAAACTCAAAAATATATCTCAGTGAAATAACACAGAGGAAATATAGTCTTGCTAACTG